AATACCAAATAAACAATACCAAAATGTCATCGTCATCAAGTTCTTCAAAATCAAATGAAAATTGGTAAGTCAATTTAGCATTTTTGCATTTTTCGCATTTTTGCAAAATTTTGTGTCCCTGTGTGCGTGCATTTTTTTTTTTTCTATCCTTCATAGTTAGCTCCCCCCCCCGCCCTGCTATTCAAATTGGGTAGTATGACATTCCGATGCAGGTGCTTTTCACTTCAAAGCACACAAATGTATGCTACAAGTGATTAGTTCGGGTAAATTTCGCTAGGGAAAGTTCCTTTGGTGTTTCCAAATGATTTCGCTGGGAGCGTTGGGAGCGCCTTCGTGTTTCCTATATATATCGTTTGGGAGCGCCTTCGTGTTTCCAAATAACAAAAAAAATTGCACTCTTTTGGGCGTCTTAAAAATGGACCAGTTTTATTTGTTTATTTATTTATTTACATATATGCATATAGTCGAGTGCAGCGTTATTGCTCAGTTCTTCTATATAACTTTATAAAAACTTTAATGACTATTTTTCCATTCCAGCAAAATGCAGCCATGCGTGGTGCAAAACTGCAACGGGGACACAGCATCCTTCCTGTTCCCGAGGCAGCCCGATATTAATAAGAAATGGCTGGAAAATGCACATCTTCTTAAAGCAACCCACCGTTCAAGAATATGCGCAAAGCATTTCAAAGCGGAATGCCTTGTAAATAATAGGCTTCGGAAGGGTAGCCTCCCAACTGAAAAATTGGGTAAGTTTATTCAATATGCTTATACATATATACATAGTTTTATTTTTATTTTTTTAACGGTAATTTATTTGTTTATTTATTTACACATATGCATATAGTCGATACGAGTGCAGCGTTATGGCTCAGTTCTTCTAATAAAACTTTATAAAAACTTTAATGACTATTTTTCCATTCCAGCAAATTCCAGCCATGCGTGGTACAAAACTGCGACGGGGACCATACATCATTTCTGTTCCCGAGACAAACAGACATCGACAAGAAATGGCTGGCTAATGTGCATATTCTAAAAACTACGCTGCGCTCTAGAATATGCGCAAAGCATTTTAAAGCCGAATGCTTTGTAAATAATAGGCTTCGGAAGGGTAGCCTCCCAACTGAAAAATTGGGTATGTTTATTCAATATGCTTATACATACATACATATATACATAGTTTTATTTTATTTTTTTTTAACGGTAATTTTATTTATCGGATCTTCAGTAGATGTTCAGTAGATGGTAGTAGATATTTGGCTATTTTCAATCTCTCTATCGAGGCAGGTGATCTGTGGGCTTGCCACTCTCGCCGAAGCCTTCTTTTAGTTTTAGTTTATTAGTTTAGTTTAGTTTATTCTTTTAGTTTATTAGCTGCTAATATTGGTGTTTAGTGTTTTGCCGCCAGTGACATTGAGGATACTAACGCTTTGACTGACCTATCAATGTCATCTTAACAATAAATGTTTGGGCAGCTATCAATATGGTAACTTATGTACTTCCTATATTTGAGAAAATCTGTTTTGCTATATGTTAGGAAATGTGAGCGTTCTGAAAGCTGTGTATGGTCGTAAAGGTGAAGGAGAATGGGCGAGTGATCCGATAATAGATCTGTTAAATGATCTACATGAATCTGAGCTTGTAACACTCTTCGTGTAAAATCAATCAAGTAGGTTGCTTGTCTGTGTCGGTTTGGGTCTGTGGGCCAATATGTAGGCTTGCCCGGAGAGATAAAGTCTTGCTTATTTCGTGTCGTTATTATAGCGTTATATAGTTGTCTTCCTTTCGGGCTGATAAGTCGAGATCCCCAATGGGTGTGCTTGGCGTTGGTGTCACCAGTTACTATAATCCGTCACCTAGTAGATCGAAGAATTTTACAAATTCTGTTTCGGAAATGCAGAAGCGCGGTGGGCAGTATACTGCAGCTGGGTTTGGGTAGCCGCTCTGACTTTCAATATAAATGGATGTTGCCTGTAGATAAGGTGTAGCAAATGATGGCAATGGATAATGTCTGATCAGAACGCCAGTACCTCCATGTGCCTTGCCATCGGGATGATTTGCCGCATAGAGGTTATAGCTATAGAGGTGAAAATAGTTTTTATTTGTTAGGTGAGTCTCTGATATGAGTGTCTGGTTTCCCAGCCTGAAAACCTGTGGCAGGCACATTTTTAAAGATACGATAAAACTAAAAACGCAGTATCAAAGAAAATGCCCATATCTACCACATTGCCGAATCTTAATTAGATCGGATCATAATTATAGCCAGAATGAAGAAATTAATTTTCTGTTGGTTCTTCCGCCCCCTCCTGCCAGATACCCGCTACCTATCTCTTTCTCGCTCGTACACTCTGCGCGAGCAACCCATAGCGGAGGAGATGTAGAATATACATTGTATATTTAGATGTAGATAGCAGATGTAGCAAAAAAATGTAAAATGTAAAAATTTTTTTTTAATTCTAAAAAATCATATGCTCAAAATTGTATATACTGACTGAGTACGGGTATAAGTAGAGTCGCGTCCCCAGAAGCGGCTCGCACGTTCCTTCTCGTTTGTTTTGCAACAATATATGCCGCCACCAACACAATCACTTCATCATCAGAGTGCATTTTTTCCTTTTTTAATTTTAGCAGAATTTTACAGTTGCCTCTGTTTACAAAACACAGCTGATTCATCAACCCTGTTTTAGCTATGTTCCACACCCTCACGGAATAACTAGCAAATTCCTTGCCGCAATTTTCCGCCTTAACTTTAGCTGCCGAAACCGACTTTGCTTGAGATTTCAGTTTACGTAAATGTGTGTGTGCCATGTATTCACACATACTGTGCTTGTGTGTGGGCTCTACAATTTTTTGCCGCTTGAACTGAATTTCGGTTTTTGGTTTTTTTTTTGAGGGCTGATGTAGCGACCTGAGCTGACCTGCCGCAACATAAATGAGGAATAGGCAGAGTGGGCATAATTCAGGTCTCTGAAATATATATGCAAATTTATTGAAAAAGTGGATATTACGGCACCAACGAAGTCGAAAGCCGACGGAATTTGCACAATATTTATTTACATAAGTAACAACAAAGACTATAAAATACATTTTTGTACATTTCATTAAAGCGTTCAAGCGTTCATAAAATATTTTTTAATTTTGCCACCTCTTTTTGGCTGAGTCTCCACCGTAAATACACACAATGCAAACAAATAACAACTTTAAAACCAAACTCGACCTATTCAGGGCCGGATCAACCCTCAACCGGGCCCTGGGCAACCATCAATCTGGGGGCCCTCCTTTATTTTGTATTTTTAAAAAAAAAAAAAAAAAAAAGGGGAGAAAAAGAAAAAAAAAGAAAAGGAAAAAAAAAAAAAAAAAAAAAAAAAAAAAAAAAAAAAAAAAAAAAGGGAGGGAAGGGGGGGGGGGGGGGGGGGGGGGGGGGGGTTGGTTTGGGGGGGGGTTGGTTTGTTGGTTGGGGGGGGGGGGGGGGGGGGGGGGGGGAGGGGGGGGGGGGAAAAAGGAAGGGGGGGGGGGCAAAAGAGGGTTAGGGGAAAAAGGGGAACCCCGCCCCCCCCCCCCCTCCCCCCCCCCCCACCCCCAAAAAAAGGAAAAAGAAAAAAAAAAGAAAAAAAAAAAAAAAAAAAAAAAAAAAAAAAAAAAAAAAAAAAAAAGGAAAAAAAAAAGAAAAAAAAAAAAAAAAAAAAAAAAAAAAAAAAAAAAAAAAACCCCCCCCCCCCCCCCACCAAAACCAAAAAAAAACACCGCCCCCCCCGGGGCGGGGGGGGGGGGGAAAGGGGGGGGGGAAAGGAAAAAAAAAAAAAAAAAAAAAAAAAAAAAAAAAAAAAAAAAAAAAAAAAAAAAAAAAAAAAAAAAGGAAGACTCAGTGGCTATTATATATTTTTTACTCATTATTTTAAGTTTTGTTTTTTCAACAAATTTTTATTAGCCCTAGGGGGGCCGTAGGCAACTGCTAATCCGGCCATGGACCAATTCTCGTCGTTAGACTTCATGTTTTGTTGGTGTATTCTGTCGCTCGACTCGACGCGGGAATTGACGAAGCCGAAAGCAGAGTCAAAGGCTAGCCTAAAAGAGAATGGAAGAAATACCCCGCGCGAACGTAGCTAAAACAATCCACAAAACAAAACGAAAAACCAATTCAAGCGGCAAAAAATTTTAGAGCCCACACACAAGCACAGTATGAGTGCACTCATGAATACATGGCACACACATTTACGTAATCTGGAAACGAAACTCAAAACGGTTTCGGAAAATAAGAATTGATAAAAATTTTGTCGTGTCTGTTTACACACATACATTTGCAATGCTCAGCTTGCTTTCGCTTCCTGACATGAGTCATACATGCCGAACGGCCCAGCTCCCGACCCGAATGGCCTGGCTCCCGACCCGAATGTCTCAGCCTGGGACAAAAAACTCAGCTGCGCCTCTTTCGGTGTATGAACTGGCACATCTATATATTGTATAGGTAGTGTGTAGAACATGTAAAACATCGACTTTGCCATCAAAATACCATTTTCAAATGCCCGCCAATCTCCATTTAGCGCACAAAAAATACCGTGGTGGAATTCAAAATTTGCTCTCTCTTTGCCATATGGATTTTCTTTTGGACCTTTTTTGTTGGAACCTTTTTATGTAAACAATGCAATAAAAAGGACTTCTGGAAACTAGCCAATCTTTTAGAAAATTGATGTATCTATCGGATAAAATTATTTGTTTAGTGCTGAGAGGGCTAACTAGCTAGTAATATTAAACTGAATATCAAAATCATGGAATACGATTTCAATCAACAAAATATAACGTTATCCCATTGTAGGCCAGGGGGGTATTTAATATTTCCACGAATTTTATGTAACTTTAAAATATTTTACGCATTACAGGTGAAAGATGTCGGTGGTCATTTTTGTTTTATAAGTAAAGAGGAGGATGGAGCCACAAAGAGCCTTTACAAATAGTATTATTTTCCGCGGTTTAACAAAGGGTGCTCGACTTTTTAAATAGAGGGGTGTATTGTGGGTTAAGTCTCGTTTGATCGCCGAATTGCCCTGATTGTCGCACTGCCGTTATATCACTTTTTGTTTGTTAATAAAAATAATAATGTTGCGGCAATTTCTGGTATGTTAGAGTCTCCAAATCCACCAGAAATGGTAGCTGATGTACTTGCCTTTAGTTTAGCACAGCCCCGCGTCTAGTGGTGCGACCCATTGCCCCACATCGCTTTGCCAGTGGCAGCCTCGACAAAACTGAGTTTGCGACTCCCTCACAGATAGTCGACTACGATGATCCGCCGCATTTGCCTGTGCCAGAGTACCCAGTCCGACCCGACGAGCCCCTCGAGACGCGGAAGCAGCGGTAAATCGTATGCACATCTGCCACAAGTACAATAATACCTGTCCAGTTCCTTCCCAGGCTGCTGTATCAGAGTCGAAAGCGTGGCATGCTAGAGAATGATCTGCTCCTCAGCACGTTTGTGGCCAGGCACCTGAAAGACTTCTCCGCCGCCCAGACAGCCCAGTACGATGAGCTCATCAACGGCGTGAGCAACGACTGGGACATATTCTATTGGGCCACCGAAACTAAGCCCACGCCGCCCCAGTATGATACGGAGATAATGCGAATGCTTAAACAGCATGTAAAGAACGAGGAGCGTGTGCAGCGCATACGGCAGCCCGACTTGTAGTAGATCTTTTATGTCAATCCAGATATTTTAATTGCATTTCACACGGAACATGTAGCAATGCAGATATTGGATCCGTGCGTTAGCTTTCAGGAGAGGCTTCCTTCCGGGCGTAGCATTATGTATTTCTGACGATTAGATCCTCGCCTTAGGATGCTTATCCATTGCTTAAACAGCCCTGATCCCTGCCCCAGATGAAAAACAATTTGAATATCCTGAAATACACATCCATACAATATATTTAAACGATTATCCAGTTAATTGAATTCTGCTTGCCGTACGTGTATGTCCAACCTTGTATACATACATACATATGTATGGTATATATATATATTTAGAGTAAATGTAAATTGCTTAACCACTATAGCGAAATGTTACACTTAAAACTTTGCTGATGCCTTGCTTAGTCTTGCCGCATATGCATGAAACTGATGAGAAAGTTCCATGTTGCACTGGACAGATCTACGGAAACGTGATCGTGTGGCAGATAGTGAGACACAGAGAGAGAGGAGTGTAAAGAGTCTACAAACGTTTACAGCAATTAACTATTGACGGGTTGGTTCTCTAATAACATGCTACATAGATGACTGAACTCTTTTTCTTTTAATTAAGTGTTCATTTCATTCTAGATTATATTTCGGGTTTGAGTTTTAGTGGGTTGTTCTCAGCTTGTTGTGGGTGTGAATGTGTGTATGGGGCTGGTTTGGGGGGCGCAATGGCAAAACAAACAAGAGGCGGTTGCACTTGAATGGTAATTTCAGGGTTCGTGACGCAGCACAGTTCGCAGTTTAATTATACATCATAATATTACACACTTTATGCTTACAAGGGCTATATAAAATATACGTTAAAAGTTATTAAAAATCACGCTAAATCAAAAGGCCGCAAATAGTCGCCGACTTCAGACTTCCGACTGCAGATGTCGCGCATCTTTAGAAAATTAATCAGTTAAAAGAGGGACATTAAATAGGCCGCTGGTAAAAAAGGAGAACTGAAGTAACAACAAAATTTAACCTATTACGAAAAATTGTAAATAATCTAGTCGAGCGTCTCGAAGTAGTCCTGCGGATCCATATACATCGAAGGACTGCTTCCGCCACTCATGGATGCGGCTGCTGATGCCGCCGCAGACGCTGTTGCTGCTGCTGCCGCCGCCGCTGCTGCTGATGATGAGGATGAGCTGACCCCACGATAACGACCACGACGCATGGCACCTGGGGCTCCCCCACCCGTACTACGAATGCTGCTGCTGCTGCCCGTCATGACAGGATCGTAGGTGCGGGATGAGGACGCTTCGGTGCTGCCGGACAGAGAGGACTTGCGTCGCCTCTTGTTGCGACGACGCCGACGACGCTTGGTCGTCTGTACAGCCACCGCCGCGGTTGATGTGGAGGGTACTACGCTGCCCAGCGGTTCGGTTAGTACGCTGGTGCGCGGCAGGGTCAGCGTGGTCTCGAACATCTTCAGCAGCGTCGGCGAACTGGGTCAATTTTGCGGGAACACATCGTCGATGGTAATGAAAGCATCTTCGCCCAGCGAGTGCTGACCGATCACCTTGATTAGCTCGGATGCATGCGCCACCAGGAACTCCAGCGGTGGACGTCTCTCAAAGTTGAGCGACTCTGCAGGCGAAAGCAACACAGGAGCGCATGAGAATGCAGTGCGGAAATGGGCAAGTGCCGAGCCAAGAGACTTACCCAATATGGCCGAATTGAGCGTGGTGGAGACATTTTCACGTCGCGAAGGGCACAACAGCCAGCCGAGCGGACTGGACCAGGGGTTTGAGTAGGCAATCAAACTAAATGCATCCTGCGAAATAAAATCAATATCCATGTATCACAGGTGCTGCTGGCAATGGTGGGGATTATTTTACCTCCAACATTTGACGCTCTTCCTCAGTCATGAGGTTCTCCTTCTCCAGCTGCTGGCCCATGCTGGACAGCTCCTTGCCGAACTCGAGTATCTTCTCGATGACACGACCACAACTGCGTGATGAGGGTGACACGTCTACATCTGGGTGCGTTTGGGCAACCTTGATTAGCTTGATTCTCTTTCTGGTTTCTGATTTTTCTATTTCTATACCCATTTCCTCGTCGATGGCATCTAAAGAGTTGCGCACTCCACTGGCACTGGCATTGGCGTTGGCATTGGAATTGCCATTGGAGCACGAGTCGCCGCCATTCGAGTGGCTCTGGCTCTGGCACGGCTCCATCTCCACATCCATGCTATTGGTGTCATGATCCGCGCACTTGTTGGAGTTATCGTCCATGGCCATGCTGCAAAAGGTGGAAATCTCTTCAATAAAAACTCTGCCAAAACGAAATCTTTTACGTTAACGAACTTTTTTAGATCTTGCTTATCGACGCTCTCTAGTTTTATCACAGCTGGAATCGCAGTGTTGTTCTGTTGTGTTGTCTGGTTGCTCTGGCTGTGGCTGCTGTTGTTGCTGTTGCCCCCCTTGCTGTGCTTGAAGGCCTTCGTTGACTGTATCACGGAGGTCTGATTTGTTGGCATGGTCTGTGTGGTGGCTGTGACTTTATTGTTGCCCTGCTGTTGGGTGCAAAGATAAAGGAAAAAAAGACAATGAACGTTCATTCCCTTAAACCGCTGAGAACATCGACTCACCTCGATGTCAGCTCCGTTGATCATTTCGATAAACTGACGACACTTCAGGGAGAACCACAGATTCTTGTTGGTCTCCAGCAGGCCGGGATACGAGCGCAGCGTGTGCTCAATGGCCTGACTCATTTTGCCGGTCTGTATGAGCTTGATGATCTCTGGAAATGTGAAAGATGGAAACAATTATTTTCCCGCTGGTGCTTCACAGGAGCTTAGCTCTACTAACTTTGTCGCGTCTTGATGGAGGCCAAGTCCTCGTCGAAGGGCTGGTCCGTGTAGCCGTTGAAGGCCTCGGCCGTCTTGCTGTAGCCGTTGTGCACCAGATAGGTGGAGACCAGGCTGCCAATAACAGTGGATTATGAATAATTTGTGAAACTTGAGCGCACTGCTGCACCACTCACCGGTTCATTAGGTTCTCCGGCGTCTCCAACAGATGTGGATATCTGTCGATCTTGCGCATAACATTCGCGCGCATCTCCTTCATCATGTCCAGGATTCTGTCGAACTTAAATGGCTCCTGGCCAAAGTTGGCGTCCACCTCTTCGCCGGGCGTCTGCAGACCCACTGTCGGATAGAGCTTGGTCTGTGGAAATACGTGTAAATGGAAGTTAGCCTGGGGAGGAGCGATTGGACGGGTCGGCTACCCACCGGCAAGTCCCTAAATGCGATGCCCAGGTCCACGCCGTTCTTTGTGTAGAAGCAAGTGTTGTTCACGAAGTTCACGCAGCAGCCGATGACATCGCCGGTGGTGAAGGTCGGCCCGTAGGTCTGGCCATTGCCCGAGGAGCTAAATGAGTTGCCGTCGTCGCCGTGGTAGCCGTACGACTGTTTGTCCCAACCTACTTGGGTTAAGGGGTGTGCGGACATTAGGAAGTACGAAGGATTTCCCCTAACTAACGCTGTGGACACATACCTGGCAGGCGGTTCATGCGGAACTGCTGGGCGGTCAGGCCGATGCCCATGTAGCCGTTGCGGCCCTTCGAGATGATGCGCACCTCGAAATAGTACAACCCACAGGAGGATGGGATGGGGTAGGCAGTGCGCACGGAGGCGGCATCACTGTGCTGTTTGCCCACGCCTGTAACGGGAAACACGTTTTCGTTAATAAATTTACAATTTACATTCTAGTTTCCCATTTCTGTTGTAGCAGTGGCGCCACCTGCACAACTCTGGACGAAGCTCGCTCAGCTGTTCTGTTGGTTAACATTTTGCGCTAACAGCACAGCACACTGGTCTGGGCAGTTCCACAGGCACGCGAATAAGCGTGGGAGAAGTGAGTGCTGAAAAACAAAAGCCACAGCACAGCTGGTGCGGAAGAGCGGGACGGCCATCAAAGTGCATTGGGTGTTGCGCACTCTTCTACTCCTACGAAGGTCTCAGTGTGCCCGAAATGGGACAAGTGGGAGTGGGATCAATGGGTCGGGTAGCACTCACCTTTGTAGGTGACGCGCAGATTGTTCTGCGACAGCCCTATCGACAGACACTTGTCGTGTGGACTCCAGCAGCGCGGCAACGGAGTCTCGGTCTCGTTCACATTGGGATAGAGCAGACGCAGCGGATCCACGCCCTGTTGCGTGGGCGGGTGACGTCCACCGCCGGAGCGGGGCGAGCTCTGATTCGAGCTCTTCTGGGGGCAGTTGCCTGGGAACATGTCGTTGGTGAAGCGGCTTCCGTTGTTGCTGTAGAAATGACGGGTGCGTCGCGCTGCGGCCGCGTTGTTGTTATTGTCGTCGTTCTCCTGATCCTGATCGTCGACGGCAGCGACGGCGGGATTGTCTGGGACAGGGAGCGGGGCACGCAACTGTTGGCTCAGAGAGGCGCGGCTCGCGCTCTGTCCGGCGGTGGTGGCGGCAGACGCGTGGGTCGGCAGGACGGCCACCGAGCTCAGCCTTTGGGTGGCAGCGGATGTCGACGGTGCCTGGTCGTCGACGTCTCGGGGAGCGGAGACAGCGTCGTCGCCCTCTTCGAGGTCGTCGTCCTCAAAATCGTCGATGCGCTCCACGGCTTCGTTGGGTATGGCACCGGCGTCAATGGTATCCGCAATCGCGTTGGCTTCTATGCCCACTGGCAGCTGCTGCTGATGTTGTGGACTTCGCTCTGGCTCCGAATCAGAGTCCCCGTCCTCCAGTTGGGGATACTGATGCTGCTCCGGCTCTATTTCTATCTCTGGCCCGTCCTGATGCTGCTGCTCGGGCTCGGGTTCTGGGTCCAGTTGTGGCGCTGATTGGGGTTGCGGTGTAGTCTGGCGAAAAGGAGGAGTAGGAGAGTGATGATCATGGGATGAATGGTCGTGACCTTCGTCTTCATCTTCTTCTGTATCAATGTTAAATAAAATGGCTGCACTGAATGACTGGGGAGGGGGGACGGACGAGGATGAGGAAGGAGAGGAGGATTCACTCATGGGCTCATGGGAGCCTCCGACTGTGGCTGCCGTTTCTGCTGCTGCTGCTGTTGTTTCTACCGCTGCTACTGCTGCTGCTGCATTCCCTCTGCTCCCACTGCTGGTGCTGCTGTTCTCCGAGGACAAGTTCGGATGCTCGTAGTTGTCGTTGTCCATGACTATTGAATGCGCGGTACTGGATTGGTACTTGTGGCGGGGCACGGGGAAGAAGCACAGTTAGAAGAGAACGCTGCGAACACGAACGAAAATCATTTTGAGTGCGGATGACTTTTCTTTCTTTCTGTTTCTGCGTGTGCTGTGAGAGGATGCTGTGTGTATACGGTGGGGGGTAGGCATGGTGGGAGGAAGGGCTGACAGGCAGGCAGGCATACATCAACCTCAAAATGCAGTGTCCTTTGTCCGTTACTCCGTCCGTCTCCCTCGCTCGCAGGCTCTCTTTCGTTATTGCACGCTTTGGCCCGCTTGCTTTCTCTCTCTCGCTCCTGTCTCTTCTCTTCACTTTGCTTCTCTGCAACGACTGCGACGCAGCTCTGACCCAAAATAACAGCAACAATTATTGCATCTCCAACCAAACAACAACAACATTTACAGTTTCGACGCGCAGCTGCAGCACCAATAACATGAACAACAACGACAACGAGGAACAACAACTAGAGCAACAGCAGCAGCAACAACAACAACAACTACATGCACGAGAATATGCAGCCAAGGCAAAAAATCAATACAATAATAATTAGTTAACTTTTTCTTGCTCTGCAGCAACGTTAAATTAACAACATTTAAACGGAATAAAATCATTTTGCAATTCGTTTTTACGTCGTTCTTTTCGACGTTTTCTTTGTTTTCCCTCTAACCAACGAGTCACTGTCCACACAAATACACGTACAATGGAGAAGAAAATTTTGCTGGGGCAATGATTTATTGTGAATTTGCTGATGGATTTGTCTGAATTGCATTCGATGCCAGTGGTTCGAATGTTGCAGTTAATGTTCACGAATAGTTAGTTACCTTTTAGCAGTGGCTACGCACTTTTTAAACTTTTTTTTTAATTTTGAGTGTAAATCAGTGTGACCGCGGATTAAATGATGAAATATACCGCCTAGAGGTGTCAAACCAAAGAAAAACCACTATCGATAGTATCGATGTTTTGCTGCTAGCCTCTACTATCGATGGTTTTGAGACTATCATGATAGTATCGAGCTACAGTCGTTGCGAGCTAAAGTCGTCAAAAAGGAAGAATATATGTCAAATGTATGTCGTAATCATGTAGAATGCACGTAACTCTTGTAACAACTACTTTGCATGTTTTGTTTAGCTTGTTTTGGCTACTTTGAACGTATGATTAAGCATATTCGGCATCACTGTTTAAAACTGGTTCCCTCTCAAAGTCTGCTTATCTCTCTCCCTTAGTTACTCTCTATCTCAATCTCCCACTACAAATCAACCACAACGATCTTCCGTCCCTCTCTTCACAGCAATAATACTGATTTTTGCTTTTGTTTTTTCTTTCTGACAAACAACACGTCGGACGACGATAAACAGAGGCGAGTGGAATATTACCAGGGACTTTATAATAGAACCAAATGTTTTTGCGTCTTGGTTTTCACTCTATCCACTAAATGGATAGACTGTACTGGTTACACATGTAAGCCGACAAGGGGCTGGGTGCAGCGCAAGTGCCCCGAGAAGTCTCCTCCAAATGACCTTTTGCTGGCGAAGACTGGCCTTGCCAATCGATCCATCCATCCAATCCATTCAGCTATGCATCCATGATAGAGATCCCCATTTCCGAAGGTTTGCAGGTTTCCATTTCACTTTTCCAGCTGTGGATTTAATCTGTTTTCCTCGGAGCAGTCTTTCGCCTTCTGAGGCAGTGCTCTGTCTGGCCAAGACTCAAATGCTCCTATCCGTGAACACCAAACGGAGAGCACTCTTCACTGGTGTGGCGGATTTCCATGGCACTCACCCACTCAGGCACACAAATTGCCTCGCTCTTGTCCAGAAACCCACCGAACCGGAGGCTCGTTCTTGTCCGTGTGCCCGTAGAGAGCGCAAACCTTTGGCTGTGTACGTGGTTCTACGGGCACTCACCAACACCATCACACAGCGCACCGCTCTCTTCGGTGTTACACGCCAACTGTCCGTGTGGGAGAGTGCTAAGTGGTGAGAATAAAATTGAGCTGGTATTGGTAATTGTAGGCGAAACACCAACACCAATGCAAATGTGATCACTCTCTTTCGTTGTTTCGACTCTCTGTTTATGTTTGGAGCTGGTTACCGGCCGGAGAGGGATCAGCTGTTTCCACAGCTGCTTGGCGATGGAATTCCTGAAGGGATTCCTGGAATCTTTGCTAATTTGAAACGAAATTGAATAGGAATAGGAATAGGAATAGAAAAGGGGAGCCAAACTGTACTTTTCCATGAGCTAATCACGAGTTTCATCACAAAGTCCAGAAATTTCTAGTTCTCGTTTTGGGCGAGGCAAGCTAGTAACAGAAAAATGGCCTCAGTGCAAGTATTTTTTATAGGTATAGAGGCCTTGCACGAGGTTTCGTATATGTACCTGCCCCCCTTCTCAAAAGCAGCTGCTTTGAATCGCTTATTATTCTATATAATCTATACACAACACAACCATAAACATGCGATAAGGCAGGGCAGCGTCGTTCTCTCTCTGTTTCGTTCTCTGTCGCGCTGCCCGATCAGGCCCGAGTCTGTTTTATATAAAAGCAGCCAACGCCGCTCCATAAGTATTCAGTGCAGATACAAGCTAGCAAGCGAGCTAAACAAGTTAAAGAGGTAGTAAGATCCATTGACTAAAAGTTGTGCAAAATGCGTTTGGGACAGACTGTACCTAACTTCCACGCCGATACCACCAAGGGGCCGATCAACTTCCATGAATGGCAGGGAAACTCGTGAGTTGCATCCAAATTGCATTAATTTCCACTCCCACTAAATACCGAATACCAAAACCAGATGGGTGGTTCTGTTCTCGCATCCGGCTGATTTCACGCCCGTGTGCACCACTGAGTTGGGACGTATCGCGGTGCACCAGCCGGAGTTTGCCAAGCGGAATACCAAGTGCCTGGCCCATTCCGTGGACGCTCTGAACTCGCACGTCGATTGGGTGAACGACATCAAGAGCTACTGCCTGGACATTCCCGGCGACTTTCCCTACCCGATCGTTGCCGATCCCACCCGGGACCTGGCCGTAAGCCTGGGCATGCTGGACGAGGACCAGAAGAAGGACCCCGAGGTGGCCAAAACTATTCGGGCTCTGTTCATCATTAGTCCTGATCACAAGGTGCGACTTTCCATGTTCTATCCGATGTCCACTGGCCGCAACGTTGAGTGAGTATCCAGCTCGAAGATTTCCCCAGTGTCCGTTCTATAAATCTGAAATCACAGTGAAATTCTGAGGACCATCGACTCGCTGCAGTTGACCGATCGTCTGAAGGTGGTGGCCACTCCAGCCAACTGGACTGTGAGTATTGAATCTGAGGCAGCTTAAGGATCTCCATACTGACTGCTATACACTCTTTTTACTCTAGCCTGGAACCAAGGTCATGATTCTGCCCACCGTCACAGACGAGGAGGCTAACAAGCTGTTCCCCAAGGGCTTTGACAAGGTCTCCATGCCGTCCGGCGTTAACTACGTACGCACCACAGAGAACTATTAGAACTATTATTATTATTATTATTTTTCATATTCCTCTTGCATATCTGTATTCCACATATTTTCATTCTACACTTTTGTGCCATAAAACAATCTAATAAAGTGAGTTTTATATACCTAATGATCTGCATTACTGCACTTTTAAGAAAATCTAAATCTAGAGTCTATATTATAGAGCATTACATATACACCAATAAACGGAATTGCTGCAGCCGACCTCAACATATAAGCCGCGACTGTAGAGCAGGGAGCTTTGCTGGCCAAAGCTTTCTGTCAGCTTTGAGTCAGATGTTTTTGATAAGCGGTACTAACGACTCCCACGCACGCCGCTTGTTCTGCACCTTCGTGGCGCTTCTTTAATTCTTTTGGCGCCTGGCCTCCAGTTCAAAATTGTCGTTGAGCGCGTGCGGTCGTTCTCCAGGAGAAAAACGGTGAACAAAGTTCGAGTTGAGGTTTATTTATTCTACGCTCTGTGTTTTGGGCCGCCTCCCGTTTGGACAAACTATACTACAAAAGGAAAAACTTTTTCTGCTCGTCCTGCTCCGCCCCTTCCCCCTTGCACTACAATTCTCAGTTCTGCCTATCGCCGCGTATTCTTTTTCACTCTTCCGTCCGCGTGGGAGTGTGTCTCACTGTCGGTGAGCGGGTGTAAACGGGCGTGTGTGTGGAGTGAGAGTATAATCCAAACATGTGAAGCGGTGAACAAATCATCTTAACACTCCGCTTCGCCCCCAGTGATCTGATCGTTTTTGCGTGTCCCGGAACGACCAATGCTCTGCAGAACCTTAAGGGGCCGCAAAACTTTTGTGTCCATCTGTAACGATAAATGCAACAAACCGAAGTTTGGCCAAAAAAAGTTCCGCTTCTCGCTGTTCTCATAAAATATGCCAAGACATTTACATCTTCGCAGCTCATCCCCCGGCCCACAGTCCCAATGGCCGGCAAAGTGTTAAAGTGCCACAAAAAGGTACGAGAAAATATTGTCCATTGAATAATGCATTCAATTACGACTGTCACATAAACAAATACATGTCCAGCGAATGCTCCCGTGGGCGGACACATACGTTAGGTTTCAAATTTACACTCATGGCTGAAATAATGGGTGCACCGCATAGTATTTTATATTTGAATTCAAAAATTAGCATAAGAATTAGGTTACGGTGTGTTTTAGCAAAATTATCATGCAATATGTACATATGTATGTACATATGTACATATGTGTCTCTCTTTTAAATTGCCGTTCATTTAATAAATTAAACATGGGACAAATGAATAAGCTCTTAATCTGGGACCATCACACTTTTCACCTAAATTGAAAATGAATAAAAACACCCAAATATAATTTCGAGCTTATCTGAGATCAATTTGCTTGGGGGACGGGAATGGTAACTGGAAAATGAAAAGTCAGCAAAGGGACAAAATCCGATGGCGGTGAATGAGAGTGCGGGCGGGGGAGACAGACAGACAGACAGATCGGCCTGCCATAAGCCTTAAATATTTATAAAACGATTAAGCAAACTTTTATTTTGTTTTATATTTGGAAAGCTCTCATCCTACCCTCTCCACCTGCGTGCCATTCATGAAATGTTAATTTTAATTAAGCGCCGCTTCTCAGCTTAAAAAAAATAAGGAAAATGCAAGAAAACTGGGATTAAACAAATCCGAAAGGGACGGATGGACGGAAAGAGTGCGGGAAGGAGACACAACGCGAAGAGTGAGGAAGACAGAGACAATGCTGAAGAAGCGACAATGATAAAACAATAAGTCAGCGGTAGATGATGAACAAGGGGGAACACGGAAGAGAGAGGTGTGCGCTGGATATGCGGAAAGCGGGTCAAGTTTTTGTTATAAAATATTCCAAGTGCCGCAAAAAAGAAAATAAAGCAACGAAAAATAATAATACCAAGTGGAAGCAGGGGAGGAGTGAGCAGTGCGTGTCGTCACCGCGGATGTGGGACTTGTTTAGCAGCTCCGGGGGGTTCTTTGGATAATCCTTGTGCCAGAGACAACTTGCGCGACTTCTTGTGGGGCATTGTGTAGGACAAAGAATAATAAAGCCTAAGAAAAACAAAGCCGGAAAAAAAGTTTCCCCCTATCCTCCGCTGCCGTGTTGTGGATGATGATGATGAGAAAGTAAGGCCAAACAGGTTAGGGTCCACAGAGAGGGGACACGACACGCGAAAGGCTTGAGACTATGCGTAGGTACATAAACTCGACGCCGCGTCTGGCTAATTATTGTTGATGAAAACTCACACACACAAGCAAGCGAAGAAAATATGAGCCCCCAAACGCCGCCTCCTTTCGGTAAACAAAATTCAACTTTTCTTTTTTGGAAATATAATGGATGCACTGTGTCTCGTTCCTGCCCCGCTCCTGCCTATTCATGATGAACAATAATTTGTTATCTGTCCGCTTTTCGGCCCAGAGAGTCAGTCGTCTATAAATCAAGAAACCCCAAAAATATCCATCTATTGTAAAAGTATGCGTGGGCCAACAGCCATCTCATTGTGTGCCGGCAGAAACATAATTAAGATATTAAATATTATTGTGCCCATACTCATACTTGGACCGCAAAGGGCAGACTCATTTAATGCGGTGGCATCCCCATAAATAATGATTAGAAATTAAATGGGTTTTGCACGGTGCAGGAAATCATCCATTTACCACGAAACACAACACATAACTAGCGAAACCAAATCAATACTGGGGTGGGCTTCAAAATATACACAAATTTCATTAAAATGTTGATAATAAATCCAAGTAAATTGAACCATTTCCAAATACCTGATGCAGCATTTCAAATGAAACTAAATTATTGCAAAGTGATGTGTTTTCAACTAGTTTGATAATACAAGTAATTATGACATTCCCAAATTAATTAAATGGTACGAATTTTAGTAGAAATATAAAGGTGCCGTGTCTGGAAAACTTACCAGTTTTTTAATTTATACACAGATTTTTACTTGAAAAATAAATTCATATCTCTACAGGTAGATCTGCAGGTCTGCACGACATTTGACAGTTTGAAGTTTTGTTGTTTTTTTTTAGATTGCATAGCATATTTTTGGGTGGAATTCGTGGGTGTAGAACTCATGTAAAATGTTTGAAGAAATTCGACAAAATTACATATTCAGAACAGCATTTAAATTTCTAAATATAAACGTATAAAAATGGGACTTTTCACGCTTTTGTTACATCAAAATAAAGTCAATATTTGAAATACGTGTATGTACGAAACAATTGTCCATTTGTTGGTTGCATACAAAAAGTCAGTGTGTGCGCACTCTCTGGAAGTGTTTATTTAACCGAGTGTTTGCTCGTTATCCTCCTAGATTAAAAGTGTTTCGACAACAAAGCCAGATAACTCATTTGAGTTACTAATTAAAATAGAAACAGATTACAAGTTTGTTTCCATAATTCCAATGCTTTCATCACCGATTGGGACCAACAATTCAAACTTGGAAAATCTTAAGCCATTGAGTAATGGGGCAGGTTTTTGAATAATATTCCCATCTGAAATATAATTAAGTCCCCCCCACATTATCATTATCATTTTAGCAAGGTTTTCCTCAATCAGTTTTCAGCATTGGTTACCGTGAAGCTTATGTACGCCTGGGCGGACTAAAACTTTAATGCAATGAGAAAACTATAAATCTAATTGAAAATCTAATTTGGCAACGACTCGCGTGACTAATGGCAAAGGCAGCCCCAAGCCGAAGACAGCTGCTGGATACAAATTTGTTAATTTCACCAGCGCTAATTTGCTGTAACTAATTAAAATACACTTTAAGTAAAATATTTCGCTGGCATATAAATAAATGTGCGCCAAGGCAAGGAGAGGACAGATGGAAAGGGAGAGGGACATTGCGGAGCAAATCTAATTAATGTGCGAAACAAACGCAGGAGAAATTTATTTAGCGCTTACCAGCAGGCACCGGAACGGTATGGCACGGCGACGCACCTGAGACCGGCAGCTCCTGGCGGCAATAATCGCGTAAATTTTTCACAAACAGACAACAACAAGTGGTGGAGTGGCAAATGCCTCAAGTGGCAGCCAGTATTCCATTCCGCATCGCCAGCATCACATCTCCTCCTGTCGTCCGACGGTGTGTCCGTTCATTGTCTGAGAGATGATTTGATTTGGCTGCCTGCCTGTAAATAATAGGCCCGATGCTAAAGCTCCTCTTGGCCTCCTCTGGAGGGTAGGTACCCTCCCACTCACATGTAAAACTGTCTGTGTGTTTGTTTGTTTGTTCTTCGTTCTTTGTCCTTTGTTTAAGTGTGTTGTTTGAATTGAATTTGTTGCTCTTTGACGTGAATGCGGCAATGAGAGTGGAGATTTATAGGTCGAGATGAATGGATTTTCAGCATGGCATGGGGCGGGCTTGGACAACCCAACCAAAGCGAGTACCTATGAAAACGGTTTAACATGTTGGTACTCGTCCCATTTTTTATTATTTATTTAAGGTTTTCCAATATCATAGCAGCATTCCGCTTTAAAACCAACATACACCAAAATGTTTTTTCTTTGAATATTTTCAGAGCCATGACCGAGCTATCGATCCCAATATTTGAGCAAGCACCTGTCGCAGGATTGCTGGTATGCTAATAAATTTTGCCCTGTGCAATCGCTTTAATTAAAGAACCGACAGCGTCAGCGCTAAGGTACTGTGAATTGTGAAGTGGGTCGAGGTGCGGGAAGCACACAAGGGTTTGGGGCATTGTGCGTAAAGAAGGACATTCGCCAATCTGTGGACGCGCCTACGCTCGCCGCGGCCCAACCGGGCCAGTGGCGGCTACTTGCTGACGGGCACAAGTGCGCCGCGCGACGATGAGGTCGTCGCTGGTTCGTTGCCAGGACGAAGGCGTCTGCAACCGCAGCAGGACCAAAAGCAGGAGCAGGAACAGCAGCATCAGCAGCAGCAGCTAGATGCCGGATACGCAGCCCCGAATGAGTGTTTAATTAATGTGACGGACTTTAGTGATATTCAAGTGAGTAGCGAGACTAGCGGGGCTGGAGCAACGACCACGGCAGCAAACACTGAGCTGAAGGTGCCGAACATAGCGACCACAACCACAAACATCGCCAACACCAACAGCAGCACAACCAACAGCACAAACAGCAGCAACAACATGTCACGCATTATACAACCACGTTATCGATTCCGAGATCTGCTCCTGGGCGATTTCTCATTCAACGACGATGGCGAAAGGTAAGTAAAAACGACCATTTGCCACCTGATTGCCCCCCACACATCGTCTTTACATTGCGCATACGACCATACGACGCGTGGCAGACCAATTCGTCAATATAGAACCAAGTACCAACCACAGGAGCCGAGAATAGAACGTTAATTACGCTCGCCAACTGCAATTGGCAAACAAAATTTCCATATTTATTCGTATTTTGTATGTCCCCTTGATATCTGGCGATCGATGAATCGATTTACACTTGACATGCAATGCGTAGGCGGAGGGTGAGAGGGTACTTGGCTGCTAAATATTCTACCCCAAAGTCTCTTGCCCCAAAGTCTCTTTACCCTCGCGAGTGCTAATCTAGGTCTCGAAATTGGATCAAAGCATTTTCAGTAAACGGTTGACCCCATGTTTCAATGACTTGTAATTATTATTTATTATTTAAATGCGAAAAGGTATTCTCAGAATTGGGAATTAGGAATGTATAAGATACAAAATAAAAAGGAGAATCTGTTGATAGGAAATATATTGAAAATATTCGTATATTGTTTTGAAGTTTGAATTGTTACATGTATCCTGATGCCATTGTGAACTTCGTTAAATTGTAATTAAATCAAATCAATACATACATCACTCTGTTTTGTACCATCATTGATCCATGGCTCACACTAGCTCCGGACCCATCCCCCAACTGCATCAAATGGAAGTCTGAACCAAAATAAAATCAACGAAAACCAATCAATAGTCGCAGCTCTTACCATTCATTTGGAGTGTCCATCCAGTGACACGAATAAAAAAAAAACACGTGAAGGAAACGTGAATAATTTGATTTAGCTGCGAGATTTGTTTGCACTGATAAGGGAACCCCTTTTGAATATTTGGACCAATCGTTTTATTTGTAGAGTGCTTTTCGCGACAATCTTTATGAGTTTTTAATTACTTTTTTAATTGGGGAGCATTTGCTAGCTGTTTCGAACAGTTGATGGCCAAACTACACTTAGTAGCAGTTCAGTTCGAGTTATGATTGCCAAACACTTTTTCGTATTTTTTGGGGCTCTCTGTATTGTTTCTATGCAAACTGCAGCCAAGGACGTGGTATGTACTACTACTACTCTTCGGTCAAGTCAAGTGTTTGCGAGTTCACGATTTCTCAATTACAGGATGTTAGCCCCAAAATGAAGGCCACACTGTTGTCCGCTGAGTACAATTATGATGGGAATTATGTCGAATACTTTGGGCCAGCTCCTGGAATGACTCAGGTCCTTTTGGGAAATTTGACGAAACTGGTGACAACAATTTTCGTGGACATTCGTGCCGTCAACGATGAGACGCAGAGGGTCTTCTATAAGATAGAAAACTTTCCCGTATGCAAATTTCTAAACAATCGCTTGATATATCAGATATATTCCCGCTGGTACGATGCCATCGTGGGCAACACCACGCAGATCAAGTGTCCCGTTCGGCCGGGTGCCTATTACCTTGAAAATAGGCTGACTACAAGCCTTGTGCCGCACTATCATCCGGCTGGGACATATCGCATAGCTGTGCGAGTGAAGCCGGCGCATGGTGGACCCTTGGCTGTGGAGCTTGTCTGGCGATATCGTGTCGTAAAGAAATAATTTCTTGTGCGTTTTGGAGGGTATTACATAACATTTGACCTCGTATCAAGATGCAATAAATAATAGGTGCATGGAACAGTTGAATTATACCTGGCAATCATGGGTTATGATGAATTTGGGTGTAACAGGCAGGAGGAAATGTTTTATATTTATTTTAAAGTGTATTTAAATTAAAGTTAATTTAATACTACATTAACGTTTAAATTTAAGTGAGCTCCTTTTGATTTCAATATGTTTGTGCTTAAAATATTAAATTAATAAATGGTGTTTCTATAAACCATGCCCTGTTTTTCTCCGAGTGTAGTGCAACTTTTTTAGTGGTTGCTTAAGCACTTCCGCTCCAATCGAAATGTGTCCCACAATTAAGTGCGCAGCCATCCCAAACGGAACTTATCAACCATCTCGTGATAGGGGGGAGCTAAATAGTAGATGGTTTTATAAAGAATAACACTAATGGCTCCTCAATCAAGGGTGAACACAGGATGGACAAATCAAGTAATTTTCTGCTTATGTCTCGTGTTAATTTGCCAATTAATAGCCCATCAATGGGATGAGCACAAAACTGAATGCACTAATAATTCTAAAGTATAGTTCAACATGGTCGCTGGTTCTGACCGATGGATGTGGGCTCTTCTGGGCCTTCTTTCGGTGGTGGCCTGCGAGGAGGTTTGTTTCATCTCTAGCTCACCATGTTCGGTCTTTCACTTTCGGTTTTCCCCAGCAGCCGACGGTTGTCCGGATGGGGAGATCAAAGTTCATTCTGGAAGCTCTGGAGACCAGTTGTGACAGGAACTTTGTGGAGTATTTCCACAGGGTCCCCAATACGGCGGAACCACTGTACACATTTCGGGTGCTTAAGCTGGCATCTGCCTTCACCATTGACTTCGCTGTCCGGGTGCGGAAGACGCAGCGGGTGATGTACAAGTTGGACAACTTCGATGGCTGCCGGTTCCTCGAGAATCCGTTGATGAACAGAATCTTTGGGAGTGTGTACAAGAAACTGATTGTCAATGGCAGCTTTTTCAGTTGCCCCATTAAGCCGGGTGTCTACTTCCTGAAGAACGAGGGATCAGTGGCGATGCTGCCCAGCTTTCATCCCACGGGACGCTACCAGGTGTCTATGCAGGTCAAGATGCCCAACAGTCGGGACCCTTTTGTGATGCAGATGCTCTGGATGTATAACATTGTGCGCATCAAATAAAGCCTAGCCTCATGAGCTCAATTAAAACCCTGATTTAACTACCCAAGTGCTGTGTTTTTTTCTGCCTGAACGATTTTGTTAGAGGGTCAATTAATTGCTCATTAATGAAGTGGTTAATAGCAGCCATGCAAATGGCGAAATATGCCAGTCGCTGGTTCATTGTCATGGCATGTGCTATTCGTGTTTGTCTGTGGGCCCTTGTGCTCCCTTGTGCTCATGCTGTCGGTCTGGCCAAGGACGAGGTATAATTAGCCAGAAATATCCTAAATCCATTGCTGAATCTATGGCTTTTTAGGAACCGCTCGTCTTCAAGAAGGGAAACATAAACTTGTTAATGGATTCCCTCGAGACGACCTGCGATCACGACTATGTGGAGTACTTCCACAAGGTGCCCAACGCGGGGCTGCTCTACACCTTCCGAGTGACTCGGCCGGCCACTGCCTTCACCATTGACATCACAGTAAAGGTGCTAAAGACCCAGCGAGTGATGTATAGGACTGAAAACATCAATGGGTGCGAGTTTCTCAGCAATCCCCTACTTAGCAAAGTTTTGGGCGTCGTTTACAAGCAGCTGGTGGTCAATGGCAGTTTCTTTAAGTGCCCCATCAAGCCGAGTGTGTACTTCCTGAAGAATGAGGGAACGGTCGCGATGGTGCCAAGCTTTCATCCGCCCGGACACTTCCAGCTCACGATGCGTGTAAAAATGCGCGACAGTCGGAAACCGTTCGTCATGCAAATGCTCTGGAAGTACAGAATTGTTCGCATTAAATAAACACATTTGCATTTGGAGGTGTGCAAATTGGTTTAGTTGTCTCTAATCCTCAATATACATACTCGTACATATGCTTTCTGGCGTTGCTCATACGCCACGTGGTTCGCACATATTCCCAATGGTGTCGTAAGGTCACGTTGTGTGTGCGTATGTGTGTATGTGTGCTACTCGCGAAATCATAATTTGCCAGCAAATGCCTTCTTTGCATTTAATGTAGCGTAAACATTTTAATTTTTTATGAGCCTCGGCTGCCACAGCCCAAACTCATCCCCTATCCGGATACGGAACCCAGCTCTTCCACCTCTCCCCCTTTTCCCATGCTCAGCTGACTGCGACGTGCGCAAGTGGCCGTGGCAGTTGCCTTTATAATGCCACGTAGGCCCAGCCACTTGCCCGGGCCCAGGCCATGGCCCACGACCGACTGATGGCCACGCCACGCCACCTCACGCCACCATTGGCCCAGTGGGTTTTTTGTTTGGGTTGTTACTGTGTCACGGATGCCAGCACGTCTTGCGTGGCCTGGTTGCTCTACCTGAAATCGGTTATAAACGATTTAGCAGGCTCTGGCAAAGGCTCCAAGGGTTCACTTGAGTGTGGGGCGACGGCATCTAGCATCGTTGCCACACATTCAGTGCGTTCCTGTGTTGTACATAAACAAATCCCCCATGAGAGCTCAAAAATGGGAATTTCATTTACTGATTCGTTTTCTTGACTGACTTTATATGACAAAGAATTCAGTTGAAGAGATTTGTGCCTAAAATTTTAATATTTTTCAACAATAATTAGAACACATACTCTTTTGTCTGGATCTGTTTTGGATCAGTGTCAATATTCTTCAATCTCTATTTTAATTACTTTTTGAAGCCGGCTTTACTCAGAGAAATTTTTACGGGGTTTAAATTTTCTATTTAGATTTCAGACTTATTTAATACGAGATTCTGTTCAAGTAAACACACAATCCGATTGATCATCTTCATAAACATCACGTTTTAGATACTTACATATAATGGGTAAGAACATTTTCTGTTCGGTTTGATCGACCTGCCACCATTCATATTGTGTTCTTGAAGAACTCTTTGAAGGCTTTGAATTAAAGACTTTGTGGCACCATCTACCTTTTCGGTTGGAACCCTTTTTTTTTATGAGAATAATTTAATAAATATGCGGAAATTTCGCTTTTGTTTTTCGTGCTTTGATGACAGCATTTTGAGATCAAGATATATGGGGTCTTAAATACAACATTTTATGGCCTAAGCCAGGACCTATAAACTATGGCCAGGCTTGGCCCGAAACTGTTTAATTGCCCGTCCAAATGGCTTTGGAATTTTTGGATTTTAATGGCCACACGTAGCCGGAGCTATGTTTATGTCAGGATGGCTTTAGTAATTTGTTGGCACTCGTTAACAGATGAAATTATCCCAAATTCTGTGACGAATGCAACAAAATATAACATTTCAAATGGCAAGAGCTCCTGCTGCTCCCGCAATTCCTTTAGCTTCTTAATAAAGGTCAAAGTTGAGGCTACTTGAGCGGATTCAGACAACCCACTTTGGCTTCATTAGCAACGAATTTACAAACAAGATTTTTCTGGTCGTAAGCACTTCAAATGGTTCGGAAAGTACGACCAACAATTTTTCACTGCGTAACATGAGTAAAATGTTCAATTAGGCTTGTCGGAGTGGCGGCAGTGAGGCAGCAGTCGGGGGGCTTCGTTTACCTTTACCTTTACCAAAAAAAAAAAGGGTTTCCATCGAAAGTTTTTTTTCTCATTATATTTAAGTGGAAAATGCTCCAAAACACAACAGCGGACGAGGAAAAGCCACCTCAACAAGTGTAAGGAGGAGCATAAATTGAGAAAATCCGTAAATACATCAGGAGAAGGGCTCGTTGAGGTTGAGTAATGGAATATTACATGTTTTTCGCACGTTGAACAAAATTTCAGAGCGGTTGAGTCAGCCAGATAGAAAAAAGAAAAATCTGTGCACTTGATAGACACATTCTGACTTTGTTTATACTCGTACCCATCCCGCGTCCAACTTTATACTTTGTAGAAATATTGTACCCACACAGCTGATTATACGACAAGAACATGAGGGTCTGTTTGTGAAGTACAATTTCCGACCAGGAGAGAGCTGACACACATGTGTGGCACAGCGTAATGACTTATGTAAATCGCATTGCATTTGTCATCGCATCCGGGCCCAGGTTTTTCCACATCTACTTGTACTAACATTCAATTAGAGCGCTGCCAGAAAAGTATTATTCTACCTTGTACGAGTACTGTTCAGAATGTGGGATATAATGCATATGACCACATTATGTACTTATCGCTTTCAAAGTTGCTGCAAATGTGGGAGGCCTGTTTTCTTTATCTGTACATTTGTCACTATTAACAGGTAAATCTAAATGTATTTACAATTATTATTCTAAACGATTTATACTGCCTAAACGATTTATACTGCCGCTTCCCGAAGATACATATTTACTTGTTCTTTTATATGAAACGCTGCTAAAGCCACCCTAACAGCAATCCTGGCGCATATCGTAGAGCCTGTAAAGCGAACCTGTGGAAGAGCCCTTGCACAATCGGGGCAACTATAATTATCCTAGCATTGTACAAGACACAACGCACCCACTGGTTGCTGCTGTACCGTGTTTAATAATGGACAGGTTTGGGGCGACATGAAAATGCTTCGTCCGGAGGGTTCTCAAGGCCATCCTGTCGGACCACTCGTACTGCAGGCCAAATGGTGTGAATTATGCATACAGTTTCTATGTATAGGTTACAGGCTGTTCAGCTTGCCGACGCCAGCGTCATAGTTTGGTGAGGCGGGGGAGGAATGCAGCTATCCTGCATTATCCCTAATGGGTAGCATTCTGGGGAATACTTTTCAGATTATCGCAATGCTTAGCAGCACCGATCAGTCAACGAGAGACAGTGAATTATTACCAGGAGTTCTCTAGTCATTTTTTAGTGAAACAATTTGGTACTGCGCGGCTTTGTGAGAGACATCAGGCATTCAGTATTGTCATGATGATCGAAATTAATGTTTAACTGCACAGTTTGTGCTCATTTTGGCAAAGCTTGGTGGCGGCTTCTTATACAATATGTACGTCTAAGTTTGGCTGTTCCATACTATGTTGCTATGCAACGATTACAATTATACCTAAGCAATACCTACATTTAAATAATGTCCGATTTCATAGGACGACCGCACTTTAACTATCCTCCACATGCTTACTTACGTACATATCTGTGTATGTATTTACATATAGATTAACATTGGAGTACATACAAACAGAGCTTACCATGCGGCTATTCTGAATGGTTTCTGTTTCTATTTTCTAACATTGGCAACGTCATCGTCTATTTTTACGCCTGGCAACAACAAAGAACGAGGTACGACTTACACAGAAGCTCATCGCAGGAGGTGGTCCGGGCTGAACTCTCACATTTTCGCATTTGGTCGGATGGGGGCAAAAGAGCAATACAAACAGCGCTTGGGTTCATCAATGAACTAGCACTCGTAAATAAATAATTATGTGTTGCGATGGCCCAGGGATCGATGGGGAGGTCGGGACCAAACAAAATCCAAACTAAAAATCGAAAGCAATGCCAAAGTCTAAAGCCAACAGCATTTGTGAGAAAGAAATCTAAACTGCAGCCGTTTTATGACCACTTTTATGCTCAAAGTACAGATTCGTTTGTGTGTGTGTGTATGATGGGGTGGGAGGATGGTGTCCCGACCCAAAAGAAAAAGTTCAAAAATCAATCAACGTGCGAAAAAGGCAATTTGTGGCTGCCATTGAACGACGAAGGAACAGCATCAGTGTCCGTGGTGAAAACCGCAAGAATGGAAAAGTTTGATGATAAAAACCGAAATCTCAAATGTCCTTACAGCATCAAATTTTGAATAAAAGCAATGTCTTGGATTTTGCGTCTTGTCAGAAGGCAAATTAAAATATTATTCAAATATTACTGTTTGACTGTTTACCAGAATAAGAAATTCATTTGCATTTCCAATATTTATATTCTTGAGTGGATATAAAATAAAAGTACAAATATTTCTCCTCTCAGAAATGTCAAGCACTTTCTAAAATAATTACCATACCCTGCTCTTTGTGAGGGCATAGTAAACCCATTCTTGAAAATTCTATTACAAGAAAAGTTCCCTTGCTGTTGCTTCTCGGCAGTGGCAGTGAATAGTGGGTAGTTGGTGGGTGTGTCTTATGGGTGGGGATGCGTCTGTAAGGCGTGTGTAGGTGTATAAGTAGGTGTGCTGGGGTGGATGATTGTTGGGATGTCCGTTTTCTTGTGTTGACAACTTTTTTTTTGCACCGACAAATGTGGCGTAAAACATGAGCAATTCTCGACTTTTTGGGACCGTGTGCCGGCCTTTCTTTGCTCGACAAAATAAATATTTCAGCTGTGTCCTCGCTCATTGTCCCCAGAGTGCCGTTGGTCAATGATGCATTTAATAGCGTTTGCTTCAACAATTTCGCTTTCTTTAGATTTTCGCGGTGCTTACGAGTATTTGTGACAATAAACCATAAAGAATTTTTCAATTTCCTCACAGAATATATTATTGTGTTAGGAAGAATATGCTTCACCAATCGCTGGCACAGGACCTCTGCCCACGCAAATTTAATTAGCAGAAGGCCCATGCATGACTGCGACTGATGGCAATTCGGGACATTTTCAATTTAGCAATTACGTGGGCGGGCAACGAAAGGTACGAGTCGCCAGGGGCAATCACGGATTTACAGGTGCGATAGACAGACCTCCGTCTGGTGCCGGAGCTGCAGTCAGTCAGCCAAAACGGATATCCTTTCTGCCTGGGCAGAATCAAGTGAAGCCAAACGAAACCGAATCGAATTGCACAGAATAAAGCGAATCAAAGACAAGCCAAGTGGAAGGGAAGGATACTATACTGAGTCCGTTGACTGCTTGTCGGTCCAAGCCAGCAGACAGGGCAATCCATCCGATCCGGCAGCTAACC